GAATAGGTAACAAATAATTGTTCGTGCACGAGTTATTACGCATACGTGTGAGCGTCATTTTCAAAATAAAGCAAGTAAAGTTTGTCCGTCAATTGCCGTTTTCGTTTAAGTATATCAACTGTCGCAAACATTAAAATATTATTAATTTACGGGAGATTTATTAGAGTGAACATGATTCGTTCTACTTATTCGAAAATTAATACGGTTTATGTTGCTTTAATAAGACTACATTATGTTACAATAGAAGATGTGCATTGCAGTAAGTGTGTATTGCTTAACGCCTCACGCTACGAACAAACCGCGGAAACAGAACTGAAACATATTATTAACTAGTTATTTATTTTAACTGAATACAAATTTAAAAAACTATACAAATATTAATCTTTTTTATCTATTTGAGTTAAATTTGTAACCAAGTAAACTTAAACATTATTTATGTGAACCTTTTATGAATAATTATTTTGGACTTAATATTTAATTTTAGTTAGCGATTCACAAGGCCCTGAAGAATTTGAAAATTTGACTGGATCACCAAAACACGGTACTCCTTTGAATAATAAATAATAACGAGAAAAATAGTTTTAAAAAATGTATATATACAGAAAAAAAATATGTATATTTTTTATTATTCGAATAATTTCACCCATTTATTAATGTGTCAACAAATAGCTGTGTCCCTTAAAATGTTTCTTGTATTCGGCGAATTAACTCATGGTACTGTAATGAAACATATTGTTCGAAATTTATTTAATGAATAGACAAGAATAGGTAACAAATAATTGTTCGTGCACGAGTTATTACGCATACGTGTGAGCGTCCTTTTAAAAATAAAGCAAGTAAAGTTTGTCCGTCAATTGCCGTTTTCGTTTAAGTATATCGACTGTCGCAAACATTAAAATATTTTTAATTTACGGGAGATTTATTGCAGTGAACATGATTAGTGTTACTCATTCGATAATTAATACGGTTTATGTTGCTTTAATAAGACTACATTATGTTACAATAGAAGATGTGCATTGCAGTAAGTGTGTATTGCTTAACGCCTCACGCTACGAACAAACCGCGGAAACAGAACTGAAACATATTATTAACTAGTTATTTATTTTAACTGAATACAAATTTAAAAAACTATACAAATATTAATCTTTTTTATCTATTTGAGTTAAATTTGTAACCAAGTAAACTTAAACATTATTTATGTGAACCTTTTATGAATAATTATTTTGGTCTTAATATTTAATTTTAGTTAGCGATTCACAAGGCCCTGAAGAATTTGAAAATTTGACTGGATCACCAAAACACGGTACTCCTTTGAATAATAAATAATAACGAGAAAAATAGTTTTAAAAAATGTAAATATACAGAAAAAAAATATGTATGTTTTTAATTATTCGAATAATTTCACCCATTTATTAATGTGTCAACAAATAGCTGTGTCCCTTAAAATGTTTCTTGTATTCGGTGCATTAACTTATGGTACTGTACTAAAACATATTGTTCGAAATTTATTTAATGAATAGACAAGAATAGGTAACAAATAATTGTTCGTGCACGAGTTATTACGCATACGTGTGAGCGTCCTTTTAAAAATAAAGCAAGTAAAGTTTGTCCGTCAATTGCCGTTTTCGTTTAAGTATATCGACTGTCGCAAACATTAAAATATTTTTAATTTACGGGAGATTTATTGCAGTGAACATGATTAGTGTTACTCATTCGATAATTAATACGGTTTATGTTGCTTTAATAAGACTACATTATGTTACAATAGAAGATGTGCATTGCAGTAAGTGTGTATTGCTTAACGCCTCACGCTACGAACAAACCGCGGAAACAGAACTGAAACATATTATTAACTAGTTATTTATTTTAACTGAATACAAATTTAAAAAACTATACAAATATTAATCTTTTTTATCTATTTGAGTTAAATTTGTAACCAAGTAAACTTAAACATTATTTATGTGAACCTTTTATGAATAATTATTTTGGACTTAATATTTAATTTTAGTTAGCGATTCACAAGGCCCTGAAGAATTTGAAAATTTGACTGGATCACCAAAACACGGTAATCCTTTGAATAATAAATAATAACGAGAAAAATAGTTTTAAAAAATGTAAATATACAGAAAAAAAATATGTATGTTTTTAATTATTCGAATAATTTCACCCATTTATTAATGTGTCAACAAATAGCTGTGTCCCTTAAAATGTTTCTTGTATTCGGTGCATTAACTTATGGTACTGTACTAAAACATATTGTTCGAAATTTATTTAATGAATAGACAAGAATAGGTAACAAATAATTGTTCGTGCACGAGTTATTACGCATACGTGTGAGCGTCCTTTTAAAAATAAAGCAAGTAAAGTTTGTCCGTCAATTGCCGTTTTCGTTTAAGTATATCAACTGTCGCAAACATTAAAATATTATTAATTTACGGGAGATTTATTAGAGTGAACATGATTCGTTCTACTTATTCGAAAATTAATACGGTTTATGTTGCTTTAATAAGACTACATTATGTTACAATAGAAGATGTGCATTGCAGTAAGTGTGTATTGCTTAACGCCTCACGCTACGAACAAACCGCGGAAACAGAACTGAAACATATTATTAACTAGTTATTTATTTTAACTGAATACAAATTTAAAAAACTATACAAATATTAATCTTTTTTATCTATTTGAGTTAAATTT